AGCGGCCACTGCACTCTAGTCTGGGTGACAGAGTGAGACTCCAACTCAAAAAAAAAAAAAAAAGTGATCTGGGTAATTCCAGCTGCTCAGAAGGCTGGGGTGGAAGGATTGCATGAGCCCAGCAGGTCAGGGTTGTGTTAGTCATAAGCATGCCACTGCACTCCAGCCTGGGTGACAGAGACCCTGACTCAAAAAAAAAAGAAAAGAAAAGAAAAAATAAAGATGACATAAAGCTAAGATTCTGGTAATATATACATGAAAATACTAAAGCCAAGAGAGGCTTCTTTTCCTTAAAAATTAACAGAAGCCCTGGCATATCAAATCTGGAACATAACATAACAGCAGCAAAAGAGAAAGAAGATGAGATGGCTTCACTATTTCCTCTCAGTAAATTTTCACAAAGATGAAACTGAGTAAGCACACTCAGATCCTCAGAAAACCTGAAGCAAGGAAGACGTTAGCACTCGATGCAAAGTGACAGCTCTGTCACCCAGGGTCAGTCAAAGCACATGGGGAAGACGGACAGAACATAACATCCCTGCTCTGGCTCTGACCTGACAACAGCCCAATCTGCTGTCAGGTCTGCGTGGGAGGGCCACCCTCCCGCCATGAGCAGCTGCCCTGGTGAACTGCTGTAGGAACACACATCAGTCTTCTAGACTCTATGTGACCTTGGCCCATCAGGCCTGGGGGCTTCTCTTAGCAATATCTCTCCCACCCCCCCGCCATTAGTCATCACCTGCCAGCCATGCTGAGGACACCCAGTAAACATTAAACGACGCCCATTTCATTTTCATCTTTGATGAAATTAGAGAAGATTGGCCAGGTGCAGTGGTTCATGCCTGTCATCCCAGCACTTTGGGAGGCTGAGGTGGGAGAATCACTTGAGCCCAGGAGTTTGAGACCAGTCTAGGCAACATAGTGAGACCCCGTCTCTACAAAATAATCAAAAAAGTAGTTAGGCGTGGTGGTGCCTGCCTGGAGTCTCAGTTAATTGGGAGGCTGAGGCAGAAGGATCACCTGAGTCCATGAGGTCCAGGCTGTGGTGAGCCGTGATAGCTCCACTGCACTCCAGCTTGGGCAACAGAGTGAGACCCCAGCTCAAAAAAAAAATGTAGAAGGAAGATCAACATTAAGTTCAGTTGTGTCAGGGCCATGTAGACATTGCGCTGTGTGTTTATGACATAGCAATTTATATAAATAAGTGGCCCAGCGGGGTTTCTTAATCAGACACAGAATCCCACAGGTATTGTGAGCATCATGCTGAACTAAAGGGATGCTGTTTTTTTACCATCCTCAGACTTCTGTCCAGGCTCTGGCTTCAGTGAGAGACCCCTTGGGATGACTCTGAGAAGAGAGTTTGACCCTGAATTTTACCCCACAACAGAGAGAGGAGCGGACGCTGGGGAGGCAATCAGAAAAGAGAGAAAAAGCACTTTTTCTTTCTTTGTTCTTTTCCTTCACCTTCCTTAATCTCTTCTTTCCTCACAGTCTAAATGCATGCCAGATTCCCTTCAGAGTCCTGCCTGCCGTTCAGAAACACACACACACACACACACACAGCACCTTTTCCCGCCAAACAACACTTGCATTCTGATTTCACAGGCTTTGTGAGGGAGGACGGAAAATCTAGAATCAATTTTAGCAATAAATGGCTCTCCCCTTCCCCTTCGAAAGTGGCAGTAACAACGGCATAGACAAAACACATGTGATTATTCTGGGGCTTCAAATAATGGCAGGCTTCAGGTGCTAATCAAAACGAGATTTGATTTTCCAAGCAAGGTTTTGATTGCCAAATTGTTAGATGTTAAAACTGCAGCAGAAACATTTTAATAGTACGTGGATTAGCGGATGATGAAAAGCAATCAAAGAATAACAGAAGAATGTATATCCCCAGTGCTCCATGGCACAAGGCAGGAGATGTCTAGACATGAGAATGTCTGGCTTTATAGCTCACGCGTTGTTCAACATATGGCATACACTTACTTCTAATCTGTTTCACAATAGGTTTCAAGAGATCCAGCCACACCTAAAAGGGAAAAAAGAACAGATTGAGACATGAGTTCCCAATGAGAAAGAGTGACTATTTTAGACTTTGTTTGAAGCTGTTTAAAATCAAAATATTTTTCAGAATAAGAGGCTGTCTGTTCCTTTTCCCCCCAGAATGCTATATCTTGCATTGTCTACCATATCTATAGAATGGATCCTTATTTGCTAATATTATCCCTGAGCTTGAAGCTTAAAATCTCTCCTAGACTCAGATCCACACAGTTGACTAAGAATTGCTCTACTCTCATTTGTACTTTTATCATACTTACCTATTTGGAAAATGTTAATGAACGACTGCATAACTGGCTACTCCAGTCAAGTGAAATATGTATATTCCTTACTGAAACAGAATACGAGGTTTGACAATTAGGTTCATGAACCATCCTCAAAAAAGTGCTACATAACCCACTGCTGAAGATCACTACAGTCACCCTCGAAGTATTCCCCTCGGGAAGCTATGCATCAGTGCCAGTGTCTAGTCCGCCTGTCAAAGCAATTTTGGAACTCTTTCTGGAATGGCCTTCATAGCTGCTGTCATTATTTGCTGAGATCTGACAAGTAAGCTCCAAACCTGCCACTGTGAGCCTACTGTGGCAGCACTGTATCAATAACTGTATCGAAACACCCTCCTTACTCACCTGATCTGGCCCCCAGTGGCTTTCTTCTTTACCAGAAGATAAAGGAAATATGGAAAGGAAGACATCTGATGACATTCGAGACAGCAAGAGTAATACAATGACGACTCTGATGGCCATTCCAGCAAAAGAGTTCCAAAACTGCATTGACAGGTAGACTAGGCGCAGGTATCAGTGCATAGCTTCCCAAGGGGAGGACTTCAAAGGTGACCATAGCGATATTCAGCAATGAGGTATGTAGCCCTTTTTCTAGGATGAGTTCACGAACCTAACTGCCAGACCTCATATATGTATGAGTACATGCAGAACCGCACATCTTTGAGGGATATGGAAAGAGGATGGATATTTACAGAATCCCACCTCCGCACCACACACTACCTGTAAGCTACTGACCTCTCCAAACAAGGCCATTGCTACCCAGGAATAAAATCTGAGACTTGCAGAAGCTAAATAACTGGTCCCAGGTCCCTCAGCTAGGCAGTGGCAGAGCTAGGACTGAAATCAGATCTGTCCAACTTTAAAGTCCAGACTCTTTTCCACATGCGTGCTCCTTGGCATATGGTTTGAGTGGCAAAATTTTCAAATAAGAAAGAAACCAGCTGCCTTTATTAAGAAAGGGTAAGTTAACTGTATTATCCTAGACCATATGTCCTTTTTTAAAAAACTCCCCTTGGACTTCTGGTAATTTGAAAGGGTTCAACAGAAGCTTATATTTGGATGTATGACAAAAACAAAGATAATGTGCTTAACACAGAGTTTTATAAGTGAGTATGAAAGAGAGAACTCTGCAGAAATCTATGCAAAGAACCTGAGGTAATTTACAAAGAGAAAATGCCAACAGCTAACTGAAAACTACTGGTGCCCAGATGTCATCTGTACTGGAAATGTAAATTAAGACAGTGGAATACCATTTCCACCCATACATTTGCATCTAGATATGGCTATATACATACTTTAGTGTTTGTATAAGACCCAAAGTTGGCCAGGACACAGGGAAGTGGGCAATGTCCTACTTTACTGATGGATTTATGAATTGATGTGAGTTTTCTGAAGACAATTTAGGAAATAATGATCAAAGGTCTAGGAGGTATGATCCAGCCATGCCACTTCTGTAAATTACCCATTTATGCACACAAAGATTTAAGTACAAGGGATGCTACTTGCAGTATTTTATAATAGTCAAAATGTTTACAATAACCTAAATGAAATAATTAAATCCAACAAAGCATATCCATGTGATGTATTCCCATGTGGGTGTTAAAAATCAAAAGACAGAAGCCACGGGAGGGCCTAGGCCGTTACTGAGATTTCTGGAAGCAAGGCAAGGCAGGACAAACAGTTTAGCAACGGCCAGGATGAATAATTCTGGCTGTCTCTAAATTAAAGGCATGGTCTCTAGTGTTCTAGATATTTCCAGGCTCTGGGGTGACTCAGGTAGAAGATTATTGGGTCCAGGGATAGACAGGCCAGAGAAAGGAGATTGGTTAGTTTGTAAGTCGAAGGTGTGTGTGCTCCTGGATGGGCCCACTGGTTCTAAGAATAAATTAGCCCTAGGAGGGGCAGCCAGAGAGGTTTTTAGTGGTGTGTTTTTTAAGTCAAGGGTCTGTCACCCAGGCTGGAATGCAGTGGCAAGATCATAGCTCACCACAGCCTTGACCTCCTGGACTCAGGTGATTTTTTCCTCCATATCCTTCTGAGCAGCTGAGACTACAGACACATGCCACCACGCCTGCCTAATTTTTTGTACAGATGAGGTCTTGCTATGTTGCTCAGGCTGGTTTTGAACTCCTGAGCTCAAGCAATCCTCCCACTTCAGCCTCCCAAAGTGCTAGAATTACAGGCATGAACCACTGTACATGGCCCAGAGAGGTTTTTTAAGATGTATAAAATTTAAAATTAGTATATAAGTCTAGGCAAGGTAGACCATATCTGTAATCCCAAGACTTTGAGAGGCCAAGGAGGAAGGATCGCTTGAGCCTGGGCCACACAGCGAGACCTTGTCTCTACAAAATAAAAAAAATCACCCAGGCCTGGTGGTGTACATCTGTAGTCCCAGCTCTTGGGAGCTGAAGTGGGAGGATCACTTTGAGCCCAGGAGTTTGAGGATGCAGTGAGCCATGATTTCACCACTGCACCCCAGCCTAGCCAACAGAGCGAGAATCCCCTCCCCCAATAAATAGAATTTAAATAAATAAATAAATAAGGCACATGGGAGGAGCAGAGGTAGGGAGCAAGCTTCCCTGAAAATGACACTGTACTGAGATCTGAAGGGGCAGAGAGGTGAGCAGAATGCATGAAGATAGGCAGTAAAAACCCTTGTCCACATGTTCAAGGGGGAAGATCAAAATGGTTGCACAACAGGGCTGGAGAGTTAGCAAGGAGCCTAACCCCACCGAGGCCATGTTGAGATGCCTTGTCCTTATCCCAAGAGTGATAAGAAGGATTTTCCACATGGCGCCGACACAATTCCATCTGTATTTTTAAAAGATTTGTCTGACAGTGTGAGAACAGGTTAGAAGAAGCAAGACGGGATGCAGGCTGGTCTGTTGCAACTCTTCAGGCAAAACAGGATGGGATTTTAGACTAGAAGGGCAGAGGTGGTGTTGAGGAAAGTGGAGATCTGAGAAAAATCTAAGAAGTAAAAACCGATGGAATTTACTGATGGGCTGGATATGATGGCTGAGGAAGGAGGCAATGCCCACAAAGCCTCTAAGATGGCGGATGTGGGCATCAGGTGGATGCTGGCGCCAGTCCCAGAGGCATGGAGCACTGCGGGATGGCCAGGATTTAGAGGTGCGGTCATGTTGATTTTCAGGGGTTTCCTTAGATCAGCCAGGAAGAGAGAGTACAGACACAGTGGAACACATTCATCTGGGACTCAGAGAAGTCTGGGCAGGAGATCTCACATTTAGAAGTGCCACCATGGCTGGGTGCATTGGCTCACGCCTGTAATCCCAGCACTTTGAGAGGCTAAGGCTGGAGCACTGCTTGATCCCAGGTTCGAGACCAGGCTGGTCAATATAGTAAGACCTCATCTCTACAAAAAAATTAAAAATTAAAATATTAACCAGGTGTGGTGGCGTGTGCCTGTTGTCCCAGCTACTTGGGAGAGTGAGGCAGGAGGATTGCCTGAGCCCAGGAGGTCGAGGCTGTGTTGAGCCGTGACTGTGCCACTGTACTCCAACCCGAGTGACAAGTGACAGAGTGATAACCCAACTAAAAAAAAAAGAAGTCATCACCAGCCTGACTCCATGGAGAGCAAGACAGCCTGTGTAGTGTCCAGAGAACGAAAGGTATGAGAGTTGACCAATGCCTCCACCAGAGAACCACCTGGTGGAAGCCAAGGAGGCTGCAAGAAAAATAGAGAATTGTGTCATGGAAGTCATGAAATGACAGCGTTTCCCAAAGGAGGGATACTGAGAGCTGCCAAAAGATCAGATAAGATGGGAACTAACGTATCTGCCAGTCGGTCACTGAATTCGGGGACGAGTCTGAAAACCCGGCAGGCAGGAAAGAGGAAGGAATGGCTTCACCAAGAAGCTTTGCTGAGATGCAACAGCTGACAGAACAGAAGCAGGGGGGTGAGGAATCAAACACGGTGGTGTGCATCTGCCTGTTGCTAATCGGAAGGACCTGGGTGCGTTTGAGACGGGGAGGGCTGAAAACACCAGCAAGGGGGAGTAACTCCAACATGCTAAGAGACCTGAGAGATGATGGGCCAACATGTCTCTAAAGCCCAGGGCATTCGCTTAGGACAGAAAGAAGAGCGGCTCTCCTACTGTGGAAGGGGAGAGGGCAGGCTGATGACAAACCCAAGCGAGTTCACATGTCTGTGATCGGAAAATAAGAAAGTTCTTTTGATGCCTCCTGTTCCCTGTGTGGAGTCAGAGTGTTGCAGGATCGTAGACAGTGAATAAGTTTCTAAGGAGCTGTGTCATGTGGGAGAGGGGTTAACCAGATGGTCCACCCTGGGCCTGCGATCCCGGCCACCGGGCTCTCTCACCAGCACCGGAGTGGCCACAGACCCGTCCAGACTTCTGCAAACTACCCAGGACACACCAACTATGATTTGGCAATGCAGCTGCCAGTTTCATGAGTTGTTTTTAAACATCTCTCCTCTGTTTTTGGCATTTCTGTGGAAAGCATCAAACACAAGCCCCGATTTGAGCCAAGGGAGCATGTGGCTTTATAACACATGGGGCTAGAATGGAAGAGGTGCCAGGGATGGTCAACCTGTTCGGCAGCTCTGCAGTGGTGATGCTGCAAGGCTACGGTCGCGACCCCTTCAGGCCTGCCTGGGTGAGGACGCCCGGCCTGCAAGAACCTGAACCCTCACCAGCCAGGA